GGCTCAGGTCATGATCTCAGGGTCCTGGGATCGAGCCCCACATCGGGCTCTCTGCTGAGCAGGGAGCCTGCTTCCCCTTCTCCCTCTGCCTGTCTCTCTGCCTACTTGTGATCTCTCTCTCTCTGTCAAATAAATAAATAAAATCTTTAAAAAAAAAAAGAAATGGAAGAGAAAAAGTAGAACAGATAACCACAAAAATATATAGTATGGTAACAGATTACTAGAAACAATTATATATTAACAAATCAGATAATTTAGGAAAAAACCCAGATAATCCTAAAAACAAACAAGTTATCAACATTGAATCATGAATCTTGAAATAGAACATCTTCTTAGACCAATAACAAGAATTAAAGTTGAATTAGGAATAAAAAATCTCCCAGCACAGAAAAGCTCTACATCACCTTGTTTCATTGGTGAATCTACCAAGCATTTAAGAAAAATAATTAATGACAATCTTTACCAAAATTTTACAAATAATGGAATAGAGGGACACATTCAAAATCATTGCATGAGGCCAGTACTACTCTAAATACCAAAACAGGATAAAAATAGTACAAGAACAAAAAGTCTAATTTTCTGACATAAGTATTGCTACTCTTTCTTTTGGCATCCAATTGCATGATAAATGTTTCTCTACCCCCTCACTTTCAATCTGCATATGTCTTTAGATCTCAGATGAGTCTTTTATGGCCAGCATATAGATGGGTCTTGTTCAGTCCATATACATGCAGAGTAATTATCGATAGATATGGAGTTATTGCCATTTTATTACTTTTTTGTCATTCCTGGAGGTTTTCTCTGATCCTAGCTTGTCTTTGTCACTTTTGGTTTCTCCTTTCCATTCAAAAGAGTTCCCTTTAATATTTCTTGCAGGGCTGGTTTAGTGGTCATGAACTCCTTTAGTTTTCATTTGTCTGGGAAACTATTTCTCCTTCTAATCTGAATGGTAGCCTTGCTGGATAGAGTATTCTTGGGAGCAGATTTTTCTCATTCAGCAGTTTGCATATATCATGTCATTCCCTTCTGGCTTGCCAAGTTTCTTTTGAGAAATTTCCAGGTAGCCCTATGGGTTTTCCTGTGTAAGTTGACGCCTTCTTTTATCTTGCTGCTTTTACAGTTTTTTCTTTATTACTATATTATGCAAATTCAATTACAATATGTCTTGGTGTCAGCCTGCTTTTGTTGATTTTGATGGGGGTTCTCTGTGCCTCCTGGACCTGGATGTCTGTTTCTTTCCTCAGATTAGGGAAATTTTCTGCTGTTATTTCTTGAAATAAATCTTCTGCCATCCTTTCTCTCTCTTCTTCTGAGACTTCTATGATATGAATGTTATTACATGTGATGGAGTCACTGAGTTCCCTAAATTTATTCTTGTGTTGCATAATTCTTCTTCCTCGCTTTTGTTCAGCTTCATTGTATTTCATTATTTTGTCTTCTAGGTCACTAATTCATTCCTCTTTTTTTTTTTTCCAGCCTACTGTTCATTGCATCAAACCTGTTTTTTTTTTAAATAGCATTTTTAAAAAAAGATTTTATTTATTTATTTGACACAGAGAGAGAGAGATCACAAGTAGGTAGAGAGGCAGTCAGAGGGTGGGGGAAATAGGTTCCTTGCTGAGCAGAGAGCCCGATGCGGGGCTTGATCCCAGCACCCTGAGATCATGACCCGAGCTGAAGGCAGAGGCTTAACCTACTGAGCCACCCAGGCCCCCTCATCAAACCTGTTTCTAATCTCATTTATTGTATTCTTCATCTCTCATTGATTGAGAGTGTAGTCATGTAGATATGAACATATTATGTAGATATGAACATTTTTCACATTACTAGTTATAGCTAAGTTGCTCTTAAGTTTCTGTTAGTCATGTGTCAAGTTTCCATTTTGAACATCTTTACCAACACTTGATAGTATTATCAAATTTTTGAATTTTTATGGACTGTGGAGTTGTGAAATTTTATGTCATTATTATTTTAATTTTTACTTATTTGATTACTAATGAGGTTAGGCATCTTTTCATGTTTTTATTAGACTCTAGTGTTTTTCTGTTCTCAGCGCTGCTTGTTTAAATCCTTTGTACATTTAAAAACTTCTGTTGTTTTCTCATTTATTTTTAGAAGTTTGGATACTATTGCTTTTCCCAGTTGTGACTCATCTATTCATATTTTAAAGATTTTCTTTCTTAATCAAAAGTTATAATTATTAGTGAAACAAAATGTATCACCATTTCTCTTTGTTGTTTTTGAACAAGATAGTAAAGGTATTTTTGTGAATTTAAATTTTAGATATTCACATTTAGGAGTTTCTTTTTCTTTTTAAGATTTTATTTATTTATTTGAGAGAGAGAAAGAGAGTGCACAAGCGGTGGGGAGGGATGGAGGAGAGGGAGGAGCAGGCTCTTCACTGAGCAGAGCCTGATGTGGGGCTCAATCCTGGACCCTGAGATCATTAGTTGAGCTGAAGTGCTGAAGGCAGTTGCTTAACTGAGACACCCACGTGCCCAGATTTAGGAGTTTCATCTAACTGTATTTTATTTCTTTGAATTGTGAGAAGAATAGTCCCCCTCCCCATCTCTTGTAGTTTTGTTATAGGTACCCTGCTGGCTAGCCCCATTTACCAAGTAGCCATTATTAGGCATTTATCAAGTTGTTTATTCTCCACTGTCATTTTGTCATTTAGCAAGTTTTCATATATATAGTTTTGAGATCTCTTTTCTGTCCTAGTCTGTTTAATCTTTTTGTGGGTCAATATCACACCATCACACTTACTCTGGCATTAAATTGATTCTTGTTGTCTAATAGAACAAGTCTCTCCACTGTGTTCACATAAATCTTGGATATTCTTACACAGAGTATTTTGGAATACTTCCACAGAGTATTTCATCAGGTAACACAAAAAACTCATGATTTTGACAGAGATATAATTGACTATATAATTGGTTTTAGAAGCCCTCCCCCAAGTATTGATTCTTTCTATTAGTATACAGACCATATACTTATGTCTTTTAATAAATTTTTATGATACTTTCTGTAAAGATATTATATATCTTTCATTAGCTACATCAAATAAGTGCTTTTTGGTATTAATGTAATGGTGTTTTAAAATTACATTTTTGAATGCTTCTATTCTTTTGCATAAGAACTTAAGTGATTTGTAAACAATTCAATCTTCTATAGGCTTGATAATTTATTCATAGATACAAGTTTTCTGTGTGGATGGTCATATTGTGAAGAGATATTGAAAGTTTTACTTATATGCAGATAGCAAATAAACACATAAAAAGATGTTCAGCATCATTAGCCATTAGAGAAACCCAAATTAAAGCCACAAGGTATCACTAAAACTCACTTTAATGGATAGAATAAAAAATAGTGGTAATGCTAAAACTGGGTAATGCATACAGTGCTGGTGGGAATGTGAAAAGATGCAGCCACTCTGGAAAAGACTGTGGGATTTCTTATAAAATTAAACATATGCTTACCATACAACCTCAGGCCTCATCAAAATTTAAAACCTTTGCTCTGTGAAAGAACCTGTGAAAAGGATGAAAACATAAGCTACATACTGGGAAGTATTTGCAAACCACATATCCAAGAAAGACCTTATATCTGGAATATATAAAGATCTCTCAAAATTCAAAAGAATAATAAAAACAAACAGTCCAATTAGAAAATGAGCAAAAGACACTTAAAATTGTAAAAAAAAGATTAAAAAAAACATGAACAGATATTTCACTAGGAGTATGTACAGTTGTAGGATGCTTACCTCATTTAATTTTAGGATTATTTTGATGGACATGGGCAAGCTGGTTCTAAATTTCGGAGGAAAAATGTCTTGAATAGCCAACAACTAGAAAATCCCTATTTTTTAAAGGAT